AAAAAATGAAAGCACAAAGGGGTATTTGTGAATTAAACCCTAAATTTGTTAAAATATAATAAAATAAAAAAACCCTGTGTTAAAAAAAAAAAAAAAAAAAAAAAAAAAAAAAAAAAAATCCTTAAAAATAATGATGAAACCATCATCCTTGTACTGATCATATATGACAATCAATATTGTTGCCATGTATTGTTGTCTCATGAACATTATTGCCATAGTGAGGTGTCCATTGTAAGTGCAGAGTATACATCACTATTTTTTTTTTCTTTCTTTTTTTCATTTTTATTGCCACTTTTTTGAACTCTTTTTCATGAACATTATTGCCATAGTGACTAACATTGTACCTGTCCATTGTATGAGGAGTGTATATATCACTATCTTTTTCATTTTTATTGCCACTATTTCAATTCTTTTTGTACTCTTTATCTTATTCATATGTCGTTGTGTGTGTGTATATATATCTATATGTATGTATGATATTCTATTTGTATGTATGATATTCTTGCCATATCTCTCACAAAAAAAAAATAATAATAATAAAATAAAAAAAAATCTGCGCCTTCAAATTCGAAGAATGTATTATTTGTTTATATACAAAAAATCATTATTTGTGGGGGAAAAAAAATTATCTTTTATTTTAAAGATGCCACATCAATGTGCATGCACAATATTTTAAAAGAAATAGGCTTTTGTTTGGCTTGTGATTGGGTGGTAGAAAAGCCTTTATTCTAGAGATTAAATTTTATTTTATTGTTTTTGGTAGGGTAAGAAAAATCTTTACTTTGGTATCACATAAAATGACATTGAAAAAGTTATTACATGGTCGTGAGACCAATCATCGGTCATGATTAAGCAGTGATTAATAAGTAAAAAGTTGTACAAAATTGGAGAAATCATTACACGGTCTCGATCCATCAGAGACTATAACGTAACTAAAAAACTGAATAAAACTGACATATTTGACTGTGTAATATCTTTGATTAGCTGAAATCACATGGTTCCAGATGATATATATAGTTTCGGGCCGTATAATAATTTCTCAGTGACACATTTACTTACATGTCAATTAGTAATTAGCCCGAAACTAATGTTCCAGATTATGTAATAATTTCTCATTCAAATGTTTAAAAATTAAAATCTTTCAATAGGGTTATTCAGTTATATTTATTGATTTTATAATATTTTCATATACTATCATATAAGTTTTGAAAATCCTCAAAAAGTCAATATAATCCATGATTACAATGTTCTCAATTAAAACAAAACAAAATCAACCCTAAAAATCATATAACAACCTCAATGAGTCAATGCAATAATAAAATTTTTGAAAGCCCTTCATGAAGAAACAAAGAAAATATTTTCTAAACCAATAATTCCAACTTTGCATGAATTGTGATTAGTTGTTAGTTTTCATTTTCTTAGAGTAATTAATTACTAATCCTCAAACCTTACCTATCACTATCCTCCTTCACAAGTGTGTCTTTTAAATATGTTCTGATAATTATAAAAGTCATTTTCAAAAAATGAATATTCGCCTAAACTTTAGGAAAAATAATGACAAATGTTTCTCAATTATGCCCCACTAACTGTCACATGCCAATTAGATAAATCCAGGTTGTATATTCAAAAATAGTATAATGACAAAATTTAATTAATATAAGTTCTATTCATGGTGACGTGTCCACTTCTAAAAACATTCCAATCGTTTTCGAAACGTTTAATGTTTAAGCCCCACAAGGTGCCACGCCATCCATGATGTGGAGCTCAATAAAAATCACACAATTTATTTAGATTTCTTTAATAAATAAAAAATTCAAAAAATAAAACTTTAAGAAAAATTTGAAAAATACACATCATTAAAGTGACATTATAATGACAAAAATGAGCCTTCATATAAATTTGAGAAAAATGATTTCCATTTTAAGTTTTATTTTTCATTTAATTTTTATAAATAAAAAAATTTTAGAAAATATTTTAAAAAAATTCTAATGTATTTTCATTTTCTTATAGATACTCTATTTAAAAAATAAAATAAAAATTAACAATACTATGCGGAATGAATTATTTGTATTAGTTTTGATTTTATATTAAGCGGAACCATTTTCTTTAAATTTACATTAAAGGGTATTTTCATCATTATAAAACCACTTTGCAGCAAATTTGATAATTAGAAAAAAAATTTGTCTTAACTTTTTTCTTCAAGGAATTTCTTGCTAAATATTGAAAAAAAAGAAGAAGAAAGAAGAGCAGTTTTATACAATTTGTCTTTTTAATAATAATGGAATGTTTTTGGGCTCACGAATAAGTCACATAATTTTTCTCAACAGGGGTTATTCTTGCGCTTTCATTCAATTTTTTATTATTTTTTACTTAATTTTGTTGTTCTCATATACTCACTTTCGAATTCACTCTCGTTTCTTCTCTTGCTTTATGTGATTTAGCTCACGATTTCGATTTCTTATTTTTCAAATCTTTACCTTTTCATTTTATCGTCAAACACTCAAATTCTATTCATTTTATCTATCAACCCTCGAGTTGTCCTCTAAATCGGACTATTTTCATTATCTTGTTAAGGGAATCCATAGTCCATTCATAGGGATCAATCTTGTTGCAGTTAGGCGCCGACTGGTCCTTCAATGCTAAGGATTGATGTCATCCAATAAAATCCTACCATTAAGTTATAGTCTTTGGCACTAAGAGCAACCCAGAAGTCAGTAATTGATTGTACACTTATTTTGAAGGCTCCAAATTCTTGTTATGCACTCATTTTTTCATTATACACTTTATTATATTATTATTTTTAAAATAATAAAATAAATTTTTTTATTATTTTTTTTTTCAACAATTTTATTCTCAATAACTATAATACTAACAGGTATAATTGTTTGCTCCGATTTAAATACAAGATTTGAAAATTATATATATAAAAGTGCATTACATAACTTCTTACAAATAAAATAAAACAATACAACTCAGAAAAAAAAAAAAAAAAAAAAAAAAAAGAAAAAAAAAAAAAAAGATAGTAAACATTACAATTAATTGCCCCTTTTTGCATAACGCGCCATAATCTCATTCCACACAGGTTCACATATTGTACACTTTGGTGATGCGCGGGGTTGCTCTAACTTGGTGACAGATTTTCTTAGTAAGGTCTATGAAAAAATGGTGAGCTTGTTTAAAATTTATCAATTAATGATAATTTTTTTTTTCTTTTTTTTAAAGTACTATTCCCTCTCTTTCAAAATAAGTATTATGCTTCTCTTTTTGTCTGTTCTAAAATAATAATACATTTTTCTTTTTCAAATAATATATTTCACATATTTTTATATATATCTTTTGAATTTAAAATTTGAATATTTAAAACTTAAAAGGTAAGTCAATAATAATATATATCTCACGTGTTTTTTTAAAAATTATTACTTTATGTACTTAAAAAGAAACAAAAAGGGTAATAAATGAAAGTCAACTATATTCAAAATTTTCTAAATGTAATGATTTAACCCACCTAATAAACCCCGAGTATCGTCAGGACTTTCCCCTAAAAGTATAAAGCAATGTGACATGATTACATCGACACTGAAGAGTTTTCATGGTGAGGGCTATAAAAATGGTGACTCTGCAGTGCAAATTTAAAGTTTCTCTTCTAATGATAAATATGGATTTGAGAGGAGTACACACAAGATGGAATCTACCAAATCCAGTGATCAGGCCATCTTGTCCGTCAATTTAGGATAATCCTTTAAATCAGCCAATCCCGACCGTCCATTTGAGAAATCTGAAATAGCCCACTACTCTACTCACTAATTCTGCTATCCTATTATCAATATCAATATTCATCATTGATTTGTTGTTGTAGATAAAAAGAAGGCCGCTTTTGCAGGCAATCAAGTCTGTAAAAAGATCGGACGGCCGAAATTTCAGGAATTGCCCATCAGCTCGACGTTAAAGACAGTACTTATTTCCACCACGTACGTCACCACATTTCATCTTCATGATAACGTATTGAACTCCCCATCATCACATGAGGCTTGGGCCACACACCATAACATGCTTTATATTGTACATTAAAAATCCACCTCAATAGTCTACTCGAGAGTAATTTTGGCCATGTTGTGCATTGGACTAATCAGAATGTTCATGATCAGAGATGGTAATTTATACAGCGAGGTTGGGTAGCTGTCCCATCTTGTCCAATTTATAATAAATTTGGGAAATTGTTTAGTTTATTTAGACAAAAATAATTTTTACTAATAAAAATTCGTGTAAATTTAAGGCAAGGACCGGGGATATTACCCATCCAACCTTGTCTCGTTCTATTTATGTAATTAAGTTATTAAATTTTTCTTATTTTATTAGCATATATAGTTATATCTGGAAACTTTAAGTCACATTTATTTACTTTCTCAGTCGTTTTAGTTAATGATAGAGCCCTACGAACTAAAAACGTTCATACCCTTGAATTTTATGTTAAATTATTGATTATTTATTTTTTATGATTTTTTTTAATAGTTATATAATTATATTTAAGGAAAAATTTTATAACTAAATGAGGCAGGACGAGTGCCCACCGATAAAAAAAAGTAAAACGGGACAAGAATGGAGTGAAAAGGTCTCCCATTTAGATAATTTTGGCCGAAAATGGAGTGAGAATTTCTAAACAATTGTGAGGGCAAAGGAGGATACATCCCGTTGCCCTTCCTATTCATAATATACACTAATATGCATTGAGCGTACTGAACATCTATTCATGGTTCGATTGGTAATCAGGGCCTAAAAAAATAATCATAAAAGGATTTAAAAACGCATGGCCATGATGAAGAGGAACATGAGAAATTGAGAATGGTATATAGTACACGTATGACATGGCTATGAGTTGATGATATTTATAAATGGATGGTGATATATATATGTATATATAGAGAGAGAAAGTGGAGTAAAATGGGTGATGATGGCAACGCCTCCTTCGGTACGAACAAATGATTAAAATCAAGAAAGAAGAGAGAGATAGAGGAACAGCAACAACCCAAGACTGCGCAGCCACAGCCGCCATTTATCATTGCCTTTTTGTGTGATGATCATTATAACTATTTTGTTTCAGAGTGCGAAATAAAGTTACATTAAATCTAGAGAGAGAAAGTGATCCGGACGGACACAAAATTGCGAGTGTGTGACATCCAAAAGCACTGAATTAAATAAAAATAAAAGGGATTCTGGTGAGAGAAAAAAGCCCAAAAATCAGCTATTTAAGGACATCACAAGAGCACTACTTAAACCTCTGCAATCATCACTTCCCTGTAAAGTAAAACCAGAGCGCTCCTCTTTCTTTCTTAGCCCAAAACAGAGTAATACTGATTTTGGGGGTGTGGGTTTTGCTATTTATAGTGATATATATATATATATATATACACACCAATTTAGAGAGAAGATGGTGGAGGATGGTGTACCAATGGTGGTGGTGAGAGAATTCGATCAAGAGAGAGATTGCAGAGGAGTGGAAGATGTAGAGAGAAGGTGTGAAGTTGGGCCGAGTGGGAAGCTCTCTCTCTTCACTGACCTCTTGGGTGACCCGATTTGCAGAGTTCGAAACTCTCCCGCCTATCTCATGCTGGTACAGACATTAATCATATTTTATTTCAATAATGATACATAATATATATATATATATATATATATATATATATATATATATATATATATTCCGATTTCAATGAACAGAGAGCAACAATAGACTCTGTTTAAGAACCAACTTTTTTTATTAAATTAATCACGTAATAATTTGTTATTTTTCGTGTGTTGGATTGATGAATGCTAGCCAAATTCATGTTTTGCTATTCATATAGTAATCACATATATGTGTGTGTTTGTGTGTGTGTTTGTCACAGGTTGCTGAGATGGTAATGGGTAATGAAAACGGAGAAGAGAGAGAAATAGTAGGGATGATAAGAGGTTGCATCAAGACCGTTACATGCGGCAAGAAACTCTGGAGGAATGGAAATGGAAAGATCAACGGCCTCGATCACTCCAAACCCCTTCCTGTCTACACCAAACTTGCCTACATCTTGGGCCTTCGTGTCTCTCCCTCTCACCGGTACTCTTTCTTTGTCTTTATCCCATTCATTAACACCATAAATACAACCCATTTAAGACTATAAATATATATATACATACGTATACGTATATCACACATTATAGTTTTAGTAGTCTTTCATTATTGATTTAATCAAATACTTAAAAAATAAAATAAAATTTAATAATATTGTTACATTTTTTTAATTCATTATTATAATGAAAAGTATGATACATTCACGTTTATACATGTGTCTTATTAATATTATTAACTCTAAATGATTTTTTTTTTTTACCTTAAATGGGTTGTTACATCAATTTAATAGTATTGAATTCTCGAATTAACGTTATTTTGTAGTGTTGCATCAAAATTTAGTTTGTACGTACTAAAATTCAGGTCATATATGATATATACCTACTTATGTGTTTGTCAAATTTTATCTTAAATGGGTAGTGAGTGAGTACACATATATATGTGTATGCGTATTGGTGATGGATATATATATATATTGACAATATTGCAGGAGAATGGGAATTGGGTTGAAGCTGGTTCGTAGAATGGAAGCTTGGTTCGGCGAAAATGGTGCTGAATATTCGTACATAGCAACTGAAAACGACAACCTAGCTTCGGTTAAGCTCTTCACAGACAAATGTGGCTATTCCAAGTTCCGTACACCTTCAATCCTGGTCCGGCCAGTGTTCGCTCACCGAGTCCGACTCACCAAGCGAGTCACCATCATCAAACTCACCCCGTCCGACGCCGAGACGCTCTACCGCCGCCGATTCTCCACCACCGAGTTCTTCCCCCGCGACATCGACTCTGTCCTGAACAATAAACTCAATCTGGGCACTTTCATTGCCCTCCCATCGAACGCCTACTCACCTGAGTCGTGGCCGGGTTTCGAACGATTCTTGACCGACTCTCCCGAGTCGTGGGCGGTACTCAGTGTGTGGAACTGTAAGGATGTGTTCAAGCTTGAGGTGAGAGGCGTGTCGCGCGTGAGCAAAGTGTTGGCCCAGACCACTCGGTTGGTGGACCGGGCTTTCCCGTGGCTGCATTTGCCATCGGTCCCTGAAGTGTTTCAGCCCTTCGGGCTTCATTTCTTGTATGGGCTTGGCGGGGAAGGCCCAATTGCGGTGAAGCTGGTTAAGGCCTTGTGTGACTTCGCGCATAATTTGGCTAATAAGTGCGGTTGTGGGGTGGTGGCGACGGAGGTGGCGAGTGGCGAACCGCTCAGGTTAGGAATTCCCCACTGGAAGAGTCTATCGTGCGCCGAGGACCTGTGGTGCATCAAGAGACTTGGGGAAGACTACAGTGACGGGTCTGTGGGTGACTGGACAAAATCGCCACCTGGGCTGTCTATTTTTGTTGATCCAAGAGAGTTCTGATTATATGTCATGTGGCGTGTTTGGCCCAAAAAAAATCTACTTCTGAGGTTGCAAAAAAAACCAAGGAATGTGGCTTAATTAGGGTCTTAATTTTGTAAAGTTTTTTAGATGTGGTGGAGGTTGCAATATACAGGAGGAGAAGATATGGTTTTTTTTTTTCTGCATATATATATATATGTGTGTGTGTGTGTGTGTGTGTGTGTGGAGGTTGTTGTAAAGTTAATATCCCCACTTTTTTCTTTATGTTAATGGAAGTGACTTTTTAGATCCTATTTCAGCCAAATGGAGCCTTAGTTTTTTTATTTGGTCATGTGGGGTTTGTTCTTTTTGGCACTACTTTAATTATATTCTTAGAGTTGTGTTTGTGTGATTGATATTAGATTTAGAATATGGCATTTAAGATTGTGTTTGTGTCCTGTCTTTGTTTCATCTTTTGGACAGAATGTGAAAGTTCAGAGCCACAAATATTGAAGTTGACAGAGGTTGAAGATGATTTGCATACGATTCAAGGGATGTAACATGTTAAAGGTTAATAAAGTATCAATTATTAGGGGTGGCCATATATCGAATCGAATTAGATATCAATTTTAATTCGACCCGCTCTTAATAGGTTAGATAAATCTTAATCCTGATCCGTTATCCTAGGGATTGGATCTATGTAATAACGGATCGGATTGGATCCGCGAATTAAGTTTTATTTAAATTATTCATTATTAGATCCGTGATATAACGGATCGGATTGGATCCGCGAATTAAGTCTTATCTAAATTATTCATTATTATTTATTTATCTTTTAACCACGATAAAATTTTAATTCATTAATATTAATTCATATATTTAAATAATTATTAACTAATACATTTTTAAGTCCATTAAATTATCATTAACTAATTAAATTAACTAATATATTCTTTGAATATATATATATATATATATATATATATATATATACATAAATTTCACAGATCGGATCGGATTTTTAATAACCCAATCCGTGAGTTACGGATTTAATTTTTTTTTTAATTTATCACTAATTTGTGAGTGTAACAATCCGATTCGATCCGCATCGGATCTATGAATTATTTGTCCACCCCTATCAATTATGATTGACTCTTTTGTGCAAAACAAAAAAAAATTGATAAGTGATTTGAAAGTGAAAGTCCGGCAGATAAACATGTACGAGTTTTTGTAATTTTATGTTGACATAATAAATTATACATATTTCTTTCCGCAACTCATTTTCTTGGATGGAAGGACATAGATTCCAAGATACAGCAAAGCGCAGTGTTATTCAATATCAAGTTGCAAATTGACTATAACTCATTTTTGAATCATTTCACATCATTATCATTCAATATTAAGCTTATACAGTCTCTGGTGTCCTATTGGTGACTATAATTCTATGAAACAGTCCTATTGTGACTAGAATTCTGTGAAACACTCAAATTCTCCAATTTAGTACCACGTATATGATTACATGAAACAAAAAGATTTGATTAACAAGATATAAATGTTGGGATTTATATGCATGACATAGCAAATTTTTATTTGTATTATAATGACATATGTTGCTGACGTTTCTGAAATATTTATGCTTGATACAATTGGTGAATTCAATGTATTATTTTTAGATTCATTATAGAATTGATAGTGTCCACTTGATTGCAAGAGATATTTATATAGGGTAAAGTGCAAAAAACACCCCTTAAGTATGCTTACCGTGCATATCACACTACTCCCGTGCAAAAAACACCCCTTAAGTTTCAATTTGGTGCAATCAAGTCCCTCTGAGAAATTTAAAACTGAACTTGACTAAAGTGCCCTTAATCAACAATTTTATAAAACATATAAAAATACAAAAAATTATAAAAAGACCAAAAAGGACTCTGCAAACCCTGTTCGGTTTCTTGGGTTTCAGTTTTCACGATCAGTTTTGATAACTTTGAACCGTAGGATCAAGTAATACTGTGATCGGATGATCCATATCACGATTTTGATAACTATGAGTGTAGGGGGGCATGAATGGCACCTAACTGGCATCACCACGAACACTCCCTTTTTAGCCATGAAATCAACCTGCTTCTTGGCAGATTTAAGTATTCATCAAACCTCCACAATAAAATGAAGAACACATTCAAGATATAAATCAATCATAATGGTCGGGGACTTTCGGCGAAGGTGGTGCCGGTCGCCGGAAGTTACACTTTGCAAATATATAGGGAAATTCGGTAGCGGCTCCCGTCGCCGCCGACGACAACCACCTTCGCCGATAACGACGACGACCTCAACAACCCAACGGCGGCCACACCGACACGACATCTCCGCGTTTCTCTCTCCTTTTATTAACGACTTTCATCTCCACCGATGACGACGACGACCTCGACGCCACTGCAATTTTTGTGTTAAGAGGGGAAAGAGAGATGAAGTGGAGATGGGTCAAAGCTGATTTGGAATTCTGCGGCCATGGCTGACTCGTCCGAGTTGGACTCGGGGTGAAGCTAAATTGTAAAATAACAAAGCCTAATACAAATACATCCATGGGTGGTGAGCTTCAATATATATAAATAGTGAGAGAGACCTAATCGGCGAAGCAACTCCGGCGACCATGAACACCGGCGAGACTTAATTTTAAGTTCTCTGCAAGAGCTATGAGTTGCCGATGCGAGCACCAAACGCCGGACTTCAACGCCGTCGAATCTGCGTCATCGCCGTCGGCTGTGTAGTAACCGTCGAATCTGCTCTCCGGGGCACTGTGTCATCGCCGACATCTTCTTCGGCTTGCTATCACATGCGAATTAGGTATCTTCAACGCGATCTTGAACGACGACCACCAAATCCAAACCCCAAATTGAAAGCAAAAAACGCACAACATGACCACCGATCTTGATTTGCAAGTGGCGGCCATGGGTTTACCAAATCATTATCAATAAATCGATCTGCGGCAGTGGCGGCGACGACATAATTTCATGCCCTTCAACACGCGTCGGTTACTGCAAATCGCGTGATTTTCACGCCGTGGCAGTCGTCTTCTTCCTCAGAGATTACAACGGTGGCTGAGTTGGTATCGATGCCGCAGACACCATTGGGCTTTGATATAACGGTGGATAGACCACCGTTGGTGAGAAGAGGGTTTGTGGGTCCTCCAACACGGACCGGGTTGTTGTCGCCGGACTCGTTGGCGAAGGTTCTCTGATTCGCAGCCGCCTTGTATATATATAGATACATATATGTGTATGTGTATTCATATATATATATATATGAATGGATGAGTTTAATGTGTGTGTGTCGCAGAGAGTAGAGAGAGAATGATGTGTATTTTTGGAAGATTAAAAGGGCAAAATGGGTATTACAGTAATAATTTAAGGGTGTTTATTGCACAGAGGGATAATTTTGCACAATTTTAAAAGATTAGAGGTGTTTATTGCACACTTTTTCAAATAGGGGGTAAACATACTATTAAAAGTATACTTAAGGGGTGTTTTCTGCACTTTACCCTATTTATATATGTATGTGATGGCGATCAATATATGAATATAAATAATAATCATAAATTGTTCATAGTCGGTAATTATGGATGGACTCATAATTAATTAAGACTTGAACTGAATTCGCGTTAGGTTGAGATATATTGCGAGAGCCGTCGTATGCAATTGTTCTCTATCACTGTCATGACATTTGACTCTTAAGTATGAGAAAAGTATAAACTCTTTTATTAATTAATAATTACTTTGATTTGTTCGGCGAATACTTCGGGATCCTTAGACCGACACTTTGGGTACTTATGTAATTAATAGTTAGAGAGTTATATTTTCAATATTTGCATCATTATTACTTGTATTTATTTTGTATTGATTATGGTTGATCACAAAGTAAATTCGAAGGCCTTTGTGTGTTTTTAGACAAAATAATTTATTATATATTTATTTATTTAAATTATTATTTTTGTCAAACAAATGTTTTATTGTGATCGAGCCAGAAATAATCAATGGTACCAAAATAAATATATTAATTAAGTAGTCGGATTGATGACTTTATTTATCCGATAACTAATTATGTATAGAGGGGTAAAAGTGTAATATTGACTTAGACGTTATTTATTATTTAATTGGAGTTCAATTAATTTCTTTTAGTGGAGTAGAAATTAATTAATGAATTAATTGAATTGGGTCCATGAATCGGACCAATTATTAATTCATTGTAGCCAATAAAATAATAAGCCCAAAGGATTCTCACTCATAGCCCAACTTGATATTGGAATCCTATTAGATTTGAGACATGTGAATTAGAGATTGAAAAGGATTTGTTATTTTCTTTTCTTTATCTTTATATTGCCTATAAATATACATGGTCTATGTATATTTTAAGGGTGATTTTTGGAATAAGGAAAAATGAATATATTTTCCCTCTCTAGAAAATTAGGGTTAATTTTCTCATCTAATGGAGGCTCCCACAAGCCTAGTTTTCCAAGGTCATTCATGGAGGGTTGTGAGTGATTCCTAAAGGCAAAACAATTACCATGATGATGGAGATCCAAGGAAAAGGCATCTTGCTAAGGGATCTACAATAAGTGAGAACATTCACTTTAGAGGAAAATTTTAAAGGTTTACTCAGACCTTTGATGTAAGTATTCAATCTGTTAATTGAATGACACATCGCATAAAACTTGTCTCTATGTGATGAATCAAGATCTATGAATGAAAATCCCTCAAAAAGTTTTTAAAACTAGCACGTTTCCCAACAGTGGTATAAGAGCATGGTTTGATTCATTGCTAGAGATCATGTTTTTATCAAAATTCATCATTTATGGATCCTATTTTGATATGCATATATTTATTTATTGATGTATGTTGATGTATGAATTAATATATTGATATATATTGATACATGATGATGTATGTATAATTGTGAATGAATGATGATGTGTATTTGGGCCATGGATGAAGCTTATAAGTTAATTGAATGTAATTTTATCTTTGGATGAATGTAATTAAGGTTTTGATTTAGCTGTTTGAAAATTCAATTATGTAATTTAATTTTTTTCATTGTACTTTAAATTGTCTATTTTTTTAAAGCCATATAATATTCATCAAAGGATGCTATGAAGCTTCAAGAAGGTCTAAGAGGGTTTAATTTGGCTTCAGGAATTTTCTGGAAATTTTCAAAAAATTTCTGGAATTTTTTGTGCCAAATAATAATTTCTGGGAATTTTTTTAAATTTTTTCTGAAAATTCCGGCGTTTTTCCGGCGGCCAGAGGGCTGCTGCCGGCAA